GGGTCCACGTGCCCGAATTCCGAAATTTTTCGAAGATAAAATTTACCCATGAACTCACGGACTCAAATATATGATTTTCTCTTAATTTTATACCCAAAATCGTGTTAAAAATCCAAAATATCCATTTTCTAGGTTTTCCACCAACCCCAAGTTTCTACAAATTTTTCATGCTCAAATCCGAAGCAAAACCATGTATTTAACGTCTAATGAGTGGGAACAACTTACCTTGACATAGATGAAGAAAATCTCTTTTCCGAAAGCTCCAAAATCGTCCAACCCGAAGTGAAAATAGGTGGAAATGAACCAAAACTCAATTTTTAAAGAGAGCTCACTGGCTCCAGTCCTTTCGCACCTGCGGTCCCGCAAGTGCGAACCAATTGCCGCTTCTGCGGTCCGGGGCTCCCAGCCCGTTTCCACTTCTGCGCTCCTTCTTCCGCATGTGTGGTCCCGCTTCTGCGGTAACCTGACCGCATCTGCGGTCCCAGCCTTCACCCTTCACCACTGCATCTGCGTCCAGATATCAGCTGCTTCAGCTATTCTTTCCAACCCAATTCAATCTGTTAACCACTCGGAATTCACTTGAGGCCCCCGGGACCCCGTCCAATCACACCAACCAGTCCAAAATACATTACGGACTTGTTCGAGGCCTCAAATCATATCAAATAATATTAAAATCATGAATCAATCTCCAATCCAAGCTTAATGAACTTTAGAATCTCAACTTCTACATTCGATGCTGAAACCTATCAGATCACGTCCGATTGACCCCAAATTTTGCACACAAGTCATATTCGACATGCTACTTTAATGACATTTTAGAGGTATTATCACTTTTAGTCCGCGTTAGAAATTATTTATATTTGGTAGTNGACTATATAGTGTTATTTTTCCGATATTTTATTTGTTGGAGAAAAGTAAATTTAAGCGTCAAGATTGTTCTTTGAAGCTTTGGTATGTTAATTTTAATAGTTTTTAATCCTATTTTTGCAAAAAATAAAAATAAATCTTATGACATAATATAAGTTACTTATTTTCGATGTTCTTAAAATAGGATATTGCATCCATGGAGAGTATGTTAATCTCTTTGATGATGTCATAATAGTGAAGCTTGTAAAATTATGGTAGAAAAGTGAAATAGCGGTCGACACAAATTTACAATAGTGTTATATTTAAGCAAGAAATCTAATGGGTTTAAAATTTAAAATTTTATATTGAATATGTAACATATTTATTCGCTTTACATATAATTATATCAAGATTTGAACAATTGTTAAGAAACATAGCTCAAAGTAATAATATGAAACAAGCAAATAGACAAGAATGTAGAGAGAGATGAGAGATTCTTATTTCTTCAATGTATTCAAGTATATACAATGAGGTGTCAAAACCCTCTATTTATAGGATTACATAGAGGTATACAAAAGAATGTCATAAACATGACATTAAACATTTGAAATCATAAGGAAGATCATGGGGAGGTTATGGAAGTGTGGGAGTTACAACTATACTAGTGAGAAGTAATGGGAATTAGCTACATAATGGAGAAGAATAGTGGGAGTAACTTCTTTAGGAGTTATAGACATCCACTAATATAATTATAATATTTCATAACAACAATAGAGTTTTTGAGGTGATTTAATGTTAATGGCAAGTTAATTTGTTGAGTAAATGGATTAGAGAAAGATAGTCAATGGATAATTAGAAAAAACAATAGGAGTATATAGAGGCCTAATTTCTTCTTTCCTTATTTAGAAAATTAGAAAGTGACAAAAGGATTATGGAAAAACTATAGCTTTATATATATTGTTCTCATTCAACTTTTGTCATCTAAGTATGTAAAGGAATTTCCACCGCAAATAAAATTTATTTTGAATAAAAGTAAATTACACATTTTATATAAACTTATTTCAGCATTTCAAGTTAGAAGTAGATGTTTATAGGGACGAATAATGCAACACAAAAGAGATGAAGATAATCTCATCAATAATACCAGATGCAACTCTAATTCTGATGAGAAAATTTATTTTTTGACAACATCAGGTTAACGATTGGGGAAGATGAAGCCGAAAATATTGCGAGTTTGCAAGGAAACTTGAAGCAAAATATCTGGCATGAATTATCATTTAAATAAAATTTCATATTGGATAAATTATCATTAAATTATTGTCATATATTATTTTGGACTTTGAAATTAACTATGATTTTGGTATAAAACTAAAGTTTACATTGACATGAAAAGTGATACTCCTATCTAATATCGCTATCAAGTAATTGTCTATATCAATTTTAATCGGTGGCGGATCCAAAATTTATAGGTCGTGGGTACTTCACTGATTTTAATTTAAATTCTAATGGCCAAGCATGGTCATAGTGGGTGCTCATGATCAATTAGTGAAGTTTTTAAGTATTATTTATGAATATATTATATAATTTGGCCAAAGCCAATGGGTGCTTCAGCACCCATATGTCCAAAGGTGTATCCGCCACTGATTTTAATATAGTAATAGCTTGAAAATATATATAAAAAAAACAATACAACTATAAATGTCGCATGAGAGCTCGCCTTTGTTAGGGATTTACAGCTTGTTTGGATGGTTGTTACATATCGTTTCATAATGTATCGTATTATATTGTATTGTACTGTATCGTTTGGTGAATACAATGTTTGGATGGATTGTGTCATTTTGCCATCGTTTCATGGTATCATGCACTAGTAATATGATGAATAAACTTGCAATATTATAAAGACAAATTATGATACGGTATATAAAAAGGTAGGGTAAATGATAAAATAAAATTATTTAATAATAATAATAGGTGAGATTGAGAGAAAAAGACAAGGTAACGATACGACTACACCAAATCGATCGTTACATAAAGTGGCACATTTCATCGTTACGTAACGACGGATTTAACGATACGATACAATAAAATTTAAGTAATAATCAAAACAAACCTTGTAGTTAAAGTAACAATACAATACAATAGTTAACAACCATCCAAACAAGTTGTTAAGCACAAAAACTTCGCTTAGCTCTCTTGTAGGACATACTCTATTTATATATTAAATTTTTTTCCCTCTTGAAATGCTTAAAACTAAATCTCTGTTTTTAATGTCTAGCTACAGCACACAAGCGATGTATAAAAAATATAGACACCTGCATACATTAAATATATTTATCTGTTATATATGCATTTCTAAACTTCGATGGCTTGATCTTGCTAGGTAGTTTCATACGTTTTCGAATGTGTAATAGTTTTATTTTAATGTTTTGTAAGGAGTAGGTATTACTCGCTATTGAAAAGTTTGTGTTACCATAAAATTGGGGATAAATTTCAATAATATTGTTTTACCTCAATATTGAAAATTAGTGCCATAAAACAAATATAATGTAATTACAATAATATTATCTAACATCTTTCTTTTGTGATGATTGATAGGGAATAACGTGCACGTTTGTAGAAACTAGTACTATATAATTATAGTATTAATGAAGTTCGAACGAGAAAGGTGTGATACTTGGTAAGTTCCATTTTTATTGGCCTGTTTTGTTCATATACTCGTGTGTAACTGTTTTTAAGGGCAGTAGCACTTATGTGGTTTTACAAAAACTTTAGTAAATTGCCTAAGAACATATAACATCAAACTGCTTTTAGTATTAAGCTTTACTTTGAGGTTAGTGGCATGGTTTGGATGGAATTTTTCACATTTTACAGAGAACTATATTATGTACATTATATTAAAGCTTGTTATTATTTAATATAAGAGAAAATGTATAAGTACCGTGAATCAAGGGCAGATTTTTAACTACACACTTTAACTTTAACTTTGAAGGGTTTTATTACCCCCTTGAACTATCTCAGAATAAAATTATTTATCCCTTAGATGCTTACTCCGCAAAGTGTGTGTATTTCGCTCTTGAAAGAGAGAGTGAGAAGCAAAAATATATATTAAAAACTTATTTTTATAGCATTTTCTTACTTTTTTATTTCTTGCTTTCTTCTCTTCTCTTATCGCTCCGGTTCCCACCGGAACAGGTCACCGGAGACTTTTTCCGGCATTCTCCTTCTATTTTTCCTGCTAATCTTTATTCTCTCTCCCACACACAAATCACATTCTCAACAAAAACTTACACATATATAAAGTTAAACGAACCCAAATCTCAACTAACAGTCGGAAATCTTTAATTTTTTCAAGAATTAATCTTCTTCCTTGTCTGTGTCTACTCTTTTTTCTTGCAAGAGTCGATTAATGATAAATGTACTTATTCTTACAGAATCTAACCATAACATTCTTAAATTTTTAGCATTTTCCCCCAACCAAATAGAGCATTGGACTGTTGAAGAAGGATCAAGATTTAGCTCCACTACCACGGCATCGACAACCAAGGTTAGAAAAAACTGAAAAATAAAAAACAAAATAACGAGAGAAGAAACAGTAAGAATGAAAAAGAAAAGCAAAACGAAAGGAAATGTGATAGAGTGAGAAATAAGGAAAGAAAAAGAAGAAAAAAGTTTTTAAAATGGCATTTGTTTGTGAAATTCATTTGAAAAAAAATATAATAACTAACTTTTTAGAAATTTGAAAGTCTTGGTTCAGCAAATTTTTTTTTTTAAGAGTTACATATGCTCTCTCTCAACTCAAAAAAAAATTAACATTAGCTTATGATGCCCTTTCATTACATTGAAAATTCTGACAAAAAATTAGTATAAGGAATCGCCTCTGAAAGAATAATCATTCCAACTCTTTCTTCCCCCTTTCTCAGTTTCGCACTGTCAAAATGAGTGAGAAAATTTATTCCCCAAGATCTTCTCTTAATAGTCTTGGAATCCCCATTGTTTCACACTCATGAATACTTCATAATTTCATATTGTTTTTGTTTTTCTTCTTCTCGTTCTATTTCTTAGTGACTTTTCCACGTTCTTAAACCAACATGAGAACACGATATTTTCATATTCTTGTTAGTAAACGAAATTCCACCTGGAATAGTCAGTCCAAATTACATGCAACTTAAAATTACAATCATATGATTGAAATGGAGGAGTTTTAACTTTTAAAGGAGCGGTATGTGTTATGAACATACTTACCAAATTGAAAAAATAAGATCTATAGCACAGTTGTGAGATTAGCAATATCCTATATGAGAATTAATGTTGAGGAAGTGTTCTAAAAGTGGAAATTGGAAATGTTACAAAGGATGTGTCGCCATACAAAATTAGACAAGATTGGAGATGATCATAGCTCACGAAGGGGCAAGTATCACATGATGTATGTTCACTCAAGATGGTTAAACATTTGTTTGATACAGACCTCCAATTTGCGCCCCGATTTTGGCAAAGGGGGATTGCCATCATAGTAAGAATATGACCATTTCGAAGGGTACGAGTCTCCCTTCACTTCAGAAATCAGAAGGGACGGAAAGAGAAGGCAATCTGATTTCAAAAAATAGCTATCCAGCCAAAGGCCAGATTATCCAATGTAAAGACAGTTTCAGCAACGGCTGTCAGCTTGTCGTGCATACTAAGGTTTCCTTACCTTGTTTTGCCCTGTATATCCATATAAAGACAAGCTGTACCATTCATCTATTCTTGAGCATTGCCAAGTTTCCAGCAACATCTGGTCACCAACATATAGTGAATTACTGTCACACAAATCCATCTATATACAAGCCTTTATATAAGTATCATTCACATCTTCTGTCTCTATTGTCATATCCTGTTATTTCTTCCTTCTTTTTAGCAAGTATGATTGCCATCAAAGTACAAGAGTCACTTTCGAAGGCCACATTTTCCAAGCTGTGTAACGACAAGCTGTACTATTCTTCTATTCTTCAGCATTCCCATGTTTCTACAGCCGTTGGATTCCTCATTTTCCAGACACCAACATTGCAATTACTCACAGAACACTCGTCTCGTATCAGCCTTTGCAGCATCATGCATAATAAAATTATCATTGTCAAATAATCTAGTCTTTCTATTGTCACTTTTGTCATATTTTTGTCCAATCTTTCAAACTTCTCAATTCTCTACACTTTTAACTTGTCTCATCCTCTTCTCATTTTCCTTCCTTTTTCCTCCTTTCAAAGAAGCCAGCCGCTTCCTGTACCTAACAGCTCCAGCATTGATTGGTATTCCCCGTCTCAACACTCTGTTCATGAGACTGATGTACTTGTACCTCATTCTCATCAATGGATGCTTCTCAACCAGTATGTTCTTGTTAAATGCCTCCCTCAAAACTATAGTATGCGTCCTAATCTTATTCGACAAGTAAAATATACCTGGATGATGCACTAAAGCTTTTCTAAACCTTATTCCAAATCCCAAATAATCCCCTAAGCAATAAATATTCTCCCTCTCTGTCTTCTTTGATACAAGTAAACTTAACAGTTCATGAATCACCCCAACTGTCCATTTCTCTGCTTGATCACTATTAGGAGCCAAGTGAAATGCATCTTCATAAGGTGAAATGTAAGGCAAATTCTGCCACTCCTCAACCCAATTCCTCACTTTCTTCACCAAATCAAATCCTCTTGGTAAATTCATCGAAAACCTTATATGCACTCTTTTCCTACCCCCAAAATCCTCTCTTTTCACCCTTTTCTCCGTCACAGAAACAGCCAAATCCTCCCTCCATTTAACTAATTCCAACCCAAAAACCTCACGACCATCAGAATCCTTAAAACCCATTTGACAAATCTGAAAATAGTCAGGATATTCAGGTAAAAAACTCAACAAATAATCATGAGGCAAACCCAAATCAAATTTAAACCTTTCAATAACATAAAAAGGAAGTCTTTTAGCTCTTGTGAGCATCAATAGTTTTGCTAATCTGTGCGCTAAATCTTTACGGTAATGTGAAAGACTAAGAAAAAGGGTCTCGTCATTATGTAAAGATAGTGCATTTGGAGTGAGCTTTACATGTAGAGTGGATAAGGGTACAGGAGGCCTGAAAGTTTTGAAAATAAAAGGGTAATTTTGGATGAATTTGAGGGCAATGGTGGGAAGATTGAGTTGGGGTTTGAGAGGGGAAATGGTGCGAAGGGGTAGAGATTTTGAGTGATGGGAAAGGATTAAGTTCTTGAGAGAGAGTAATGGTTTGAGGTTTTTTTCCTTTTCTACTGCTTTATCAAGGTATGGGTCTCGTACCCATTTGACTCTTGCGTTCACGAAGGTGCGGATATGTTGCCGAAGATGGCGGTGGATGACGGTGGTTGTGGTGGCCATGAACCGAACCATGGCGGTCAAATTTTGTAAAATTTTGAACTAGCTAGTGACATCAGCATTTCACTTGTAACCTCTTATTTAAATATTTTTAAAGTAATGAAAGACAACTTAACCGGAAATTATTTTTGCGTTATTGAAATTCCTTATAACAGTAATTGAAATTCCTTATGCCATGTGTTCTTTTTTAGGACAAAACTTAGTTAATTTGTTATTAATTAGTTTTAAATTTTAAATTAAAATATTTAAATATCTATTATTTGAAGAAGGGGTAGTTATTTACTCAATTCAAATAAGTAATTAATCATTAGGAAGTTACTATTAGAAATAATAACCGGTTCCAATTTCTCATGAGTAAACCGTTCCAACTTCTCTTCAGTTTTCTTATTTTTAAATTATTAAATCATTTTATTTGAAAAAATGTGCCGGCTTCCTCAAAAATAGGAGTAGCCTTCAAAACCCTTCAGTTCACCATTTTGAATATGCAGTTCTTTCTCTTATCATATACCCCCCACGTTTTCCCACTCCCACCCAACAATACTCACGTTTCAACCCTCTACTTCACATCTCCCTTCACAAATCATCCACACTGCCCCACTATATTCACTTCCCCACTATACTAATCACATGATATTATAAAAGGACATAATAAGGGAGGCGTTAAAACAAGAAAAGGTGAGAGAACAAAGAAAAACAGAGGAGACTCCGACAATATTACGTAACAAATTTTTCTGCAAAATCACGATAGCCTCAAGTCTTTAAATTTTCGCCCAATAACAACGGTATGAAGTTTAATCCACTGTTTGCAGATTTACGATTTACATAATTGTTGGTTAAAGATGCTCTTTTATTTTCCCAATTTTTTTCTTACAGAGTGTCTTTTTGGAATAACAGATTTGGAAAACTGTTTTTTCAATTTAATTACTGTTTTTTGTTGCAATATAGGATAGTATCATGGACATGAATATACTAAATTTTATGTGATCTACTGGAATTTATTATGTACAACTGTATTTGTGTTGTCATCTTATTAGTATACTGACTTAAATTAGGCTGCGTAGCTAAATACTCATATTGGAATTTAGCATAATGTGGTTTCTGTTTTTAACTGAGTTGTTACATGTCCAGAATTGCTGAAACTTATAAAGTTTGTACTTTTCCTTTTAATTTTCAGAATTACAGAATTTGTCTCGCAATTTCTTCTCATCTCCTTTAATACTCGAAAGAGCTTCAGTAAACTTTTGTTTATTTTTATTTCCTGTCGATGCGCAACCAAGGAAGCTTTATATCCACTACTGAAGTTTGTCCTTCATTCAGTTGACAATGTCTTTTAAAATAGTTGTATAAATCCATCAACATGTTCAAATAATATGCATGTCCTATGTTATCACAATGAGATGTTGTAGCGATTCTTATTGTTTCCTTAGTCCTATTTCAAATATGGCTGAACAAGGACACGTTCAAATTACTCCAACTACGAGTTCTCAAATTCAACGAATGGGACAACGTAGAAGGGTACGCCGTCGCAGCATTTATTCCTATAATGATTCTGACTCAAAGCCTGAAGTTATCAGGAATGTCCCAAGGGCGATACAAAATAAGTTAAGAGATCGAAGGGCTGAACGAAGGGACAGA